TGTTTGTAAACACCCGTGTGACGTCGACCGCCGACGTCATGACCTTCAAATTGTTCTATCTTCAATTTAACTTTCGTCTGCTTTATTTCCTCAGCACTCTCTTTAATTGATTAGAAATACAATTAACTGTTTATTCTCATCTAATAAGAATGTTTGCCGTTGATAAGTGCCGCGTCTGAAGTAATTACCATACCGTCTAGTATAGTGTGTAAATATATCTAAAAATGACGTCATTTCTGTTCGATAGAATGACGCTCTGTGATTGGTCAGAAGGAGATTGTGAAAACTCCAGACGCCATAAAAACTGCCCACTTATATTTCCAGACAGTCGCGACGAAGTCTGATTTGAGACAGTTCCACGTATGTTACGTGAACTCTCTCTTGCCTGAATCAACTCAAATAACCTCAACTTAACCCTTGACACTACTCTAATCACTTTGATTGACTTTGATCAACAGATTCCACTAACTTAATTTCATTTATCTCGATAAATTATAACACAAAATAAAGAAAATTAAAATTATACCGTGAATGTTTCTTTTTTAAAAATCGAAATTTATTTTCAAAGAGAAATAGCGACATTTCTAACTTTGAGGATGAGGTATGGAAAGGTGAAACATGAAGAGTAATGGAGAACGGAAAAATAAAAAGTGTCCAGGGGCGGGAATCGAACCCACACCCTTCTGCTTACCGGGCAGGTGCCTTGTCCACTCGGCTACCCTGGACGTATTTTTCCGTTCATAACTTATATTTAAAGTAACATTTAAAATACAATATAACGCGGCTGATGATTGTAAAACGAAAATTAAAATTATACCGTGAATGTTTCTTTTTTAAAAATCGAAATTTATTTTCAAAGAGAAATAGCGACATTTCTAACTTTGAGGATGAGGTATGGAAAGGTGAAACATGAAGAGTAATGGAGAACGGAAAAATAAAAAGTGTCCAGGGGCGGGAATCGAACCCACACCCTTCTGCTTACCGGGCAGGTGCCTTGTCCACTCGGCTACCCTGGACGTATTTTTCCGTTCATAACTTATATTTAAAGTAACATTTAAAATACAATATAACGCGGCTGATGATTGTAAAACTAAAATTAAAATTATACCGTGAATGTTTCTTTTTTAAAAATCGAAATTTATTTTCAAAGAGAAATAGCGACATTTCTAACTTTGAGGATGAGGTATGGAAAGGTGAAACATGAAGAGTAATGGAGAACGGAAAAATAAAAAGTGTCCAGGGGCGGGAATCGAACCCACACCCTTCTGCTTACCGGGCAGGTGCCTTGTCCACTCGGCTACCCTGGACGTATTTTTCCGTTCATAACTTATATTTAAAGTAACATTTAAAATACAATATAACGCGGCTGATGATTGTAAAACGAAAATTAAAATTATACCGTGAATGTTTCTTTTTTAAAAATCGAAATTTATTTTCAAAGAGAAATAGCGACATTTCTAACTTTGAGGATGAGGTATGGAAAGGTGAAACATGAAGAGTAATGGAGAACGTTTAAAGAAGTTTAAAGAATTGCGAAATTGTATATTCCTAGGAGTATTCAACATGTAAAAACAATTTTGTCTTTTAATTATACAAGATGCAAAATTTCTCTTTTGAGTTACGTTCGCATAATGGCAGTATTCTAGTAATATTGGGCAGTTAATTTTGAAAATGAATCTTGATTTTATTTGAAAATGTATTGGTTCATTGCAATCTAATCTGGATCTTCATATGCTTCAGGTACGATTTAGCTCTTAGACCAAACCTAAAATACTGCCTGGGGTGGTTACGATAAGAGAAACTGTGCATCAAAATCATTTGTCGTTTAGATTATGAAGAGTAGGATTTGCTTTCTTTTACGGCCAAAGGTAAAAAATGAATAATCTATTCAGTTGGCATGTTTCTTGATCCAAAAAAAAAAATAAATCAAATAAATTAGAGATTGATTCACACTCAGGTTTTTATTCAATTTCATTAATCATTTAGAAAATTACGTGCTCCATCATTATGGAGATAAGCTATGCATATATTTGATGTTTACACCCAACTAGAAACCAAATCTTGTTTTTGACTGCCATATGTAAAGTAGTTTAAGAGATGGGTGCAACTCCAGACAGTTCCGGGCAGTCGTTTGCTGAATGCTTGATGAGACCTGACGGCTTATTTGTTGGAACTTGGGCCAACTCTCTAGAATGGCTGGTCTTCATACAAGGATGCATTTGTTAAAGAGAATATTTCTTTTGTATTTCTTCTTTGGCCATCAGAGTCCAAGTCTGGCTTTCTTCGTATTCATTCAAATTTCTATGTCTTCTGATTAATTCTACAAGTTTATACAGTAAGGCGCTCGTTGTAAGAGTAAGAAATGATATCCAATTTGCTACATATGATCAGTTTAACCTTTTTCTAAGATACGACAAAGCTTCTTAAACCAAACTGACGTTTATACTATTAGGAAAGATAGATTGGAAATGCCAGAAATACCATATAAAAATATCTATTTCACATTGGCAAATTGGCAAAATATTAATTTCTTTAATATTTTTTTATAATAAATTTGAAATCATATTTTTTGTTTTTATTTTTACTTTATTTAGCACTATTTACATAAATAAGGATATTTATTATGAGATGAAAATCTTAATGGATCTTAAATGTATTGTATTGAAATAAAAATATAGCGTGTAAAAAATAGAGAGAGAATTATTAAAAATAATTTCTATATTATCACTGCCCTCGCTCTTATTTTAGATTGTAGCTTCTCAATTTGGGAGTCAAAATGATTTTTTATTCAAGTTATGAGTGTAGTAATGAATAATGATTCTTTAATTAAGACTCTGGCAGGATCTCTCTAGTTCCAAGAACTCAGCTGCGTGTCTAAAAGGTCAGAATGCCCTCAGAACCTTAAGAAAATCCCTGATAATAACTTTATCCGCTCACTGTTATATCCTAAACTTTACTCTCACTAAACTGTTAAGTAGAATCTTAAGTGATTTGAATCATTTGTAATAGCAAAAATTCATCAAAATTATATTTTAAAATTTAATACTAAGTTGCTTTTTTATTTAAAACAAACAAGCGAATTTTCAATCAAAGTTTCTTTCTGCGGGCTTATCTTAAATATGAGGGGAGAATACTAAACTATTTTTTTGTAAAAAGAAATGCTTGCATGTGCATGCGCGGGCGTACATAGCGACTTAAAGCTGGTATTTAATGCCAGAATGTCTTAAATATATTTCATTATTTCTTTCTTTCAAATAGCCACTATGCATGCCCGCGCGTGTACATACGCAAATCTTTCTTTTTATGCACATAGTCCCTTGTTCTCATCTCCTGTTTAAGATAAATCTGTAGAAGAGTCACTTTGTTCGAAAAATGTCTTGTTTTTTCTGATATAGAAATATCGTTATAATTTTTGTTGAATTCATAGAGGAGGTATCGATACACGCTTATTTACTAACCCTAATCTATCTTTGAGTATTTGTATACACTCCATCAACAGGTTAGGTTAGTGTTAAGATTAGGATAGGTTAGTTAAGGTTAGGTTCACTTTGTTGTTCTTGTTGCTTATTCCTCAAGTCGTTTAAACGATCTCCATTAGTTCCCATTGTCTCAGCTTTTCTATTATAGCCCTGGGGTTTCCCCAGAGGTCTTTTTTGGAGGATTTTATACAATTCAATAGATGTTCAGGACTGGCTGATTCAGTTTAAGGTTAGTAAATCAGTAAGATTGTATTGGAACCTCCCAATTCCTAGCTGTGACTACATAACCGCAGTACTTGACGGACGTTCTTGAGTAGTTTTAAGATTAAATTGGAGAGGCTGCCGAGAAATCCAATCATGATAAGCTTCCAGGAGATTATTTAAACTTCTCAGAACCGTAATACTGAAATCTTATTTATTACTGTCGGTAAATGATATTCTATTAGCTTAATCTACTGTGGGAGCTGATTATGTTTTTACACTGTAAATTATGTACAAACCATTTGTATGCTTCAAACAGCAAGTTCTTCTTGTGATTTTCATTGATGTTTTATGGCACTTCTATTCTCTATAAAGGGAGGGATCAATATTGAGTATAGAAAATCTTCAAATAAATATAAAAATATAGAGAATATTTCATGATTTTTTTTTGTGCTTACCCCTAGTACATGTGGTACAGGCCATGATAATCATGGTGGGTAGAAGTAAGCGACTGCTTTTACTCTAAGTGCACCACATGTCTATACATGAGAAAAGCAGTTCGACTTTGCACTAACAAATGTGTCAGAGCCCCGTTTGGTTACTTGCACTCGCTGATGGGGTTGGCAAGAATCGGGGACCATTGGAGCATTTTTTTATCAGAAAAAAAGTGCCCAATGCGGGAATCGAACCCGGATCGTAGCGGTCGAAAACCAACGGTTTAGACCATCCTACCACCGACCCCCGTATCTTTCATGATAATATTGTAAAGGCGCATCAGTAAAATATTTCATAAGATCTATCAGCCCACCATATCACCGCGCAGTTAATCATAAAGCTAAAAAAATCATAGAGACCATCATTAGAGACCAATCCTCAAAATGTAATGACTTTGTAAAAACACATAGGCTAAATTTAATGAACTCTTAAAGACGAGAATAAACATGTCCTTAAACGAATAATGAACCCGACAATAAACTACAGCGCAGAAAGGAAAGAAGCATTTGTCCTATATTCGTTTATACACATGGCACTACTTTGAAAAATAAAATGTTGAAAACTTTGAAAAATAAAATCAAAGATAAATGTTAATTATGACATATATTTCTCCTTTTATCAGATTATCATAATGAATTTCTCGAGTTCCTATGCAAGCTAATATTGGTATTTATAATAAACTAGCCGAATGACCCGGGCAACGCCCGGGGTTTACCCGATTAAATGCTTTTATTCAAATACTATTCGTTACAATTATAAATTGGCGCCGTGGATGTCATTCTTGTATAATATATAAATGAGTTTTAAAAATTGTAAAAAAAAAAATGCATCGGCCGGGAATCGAACCCGGGCCGCCCGCGTGGCAGGCGAGCCCCTGAACCACCACTGAACCACCGATGGTTATGAGAAATGACCATATTTGGGTATTTATTCCATTCACAAAAGCAAACGGTGACAGAATTGATTAAGAATTGTTGCTTGATTATGACGCTGATAACTGTATATATTAATACAACAATATTCCTGAAAAGGATGTCATTGGGTCATTGAAACAGCTGTCAATTCAATAGATATGTAAATTTCGCTGTGAAGTTTTAGGTATTTTTGGTTGGATGTCTTCAGAGAGGTGTCCCTCGACGGCAGAGAGACAAAGTGCGACCTCTTTCTCCGCGATTAGCTCTATTCTTGCCGACGCGTCTATCACCGCCGAAGCTGTAAATTGACGGTTCAGTTTCACAACCGGCCGTCGCTCTATTTGTGGAGCTTTTTACGGCGTCGTTTACCATCTCTGTTGGCGGCCACAACAATTGCTTCGTTCGAGCTTCTTCGGAATCGGAAAGGTCATTCAGTAATGTCAGTTTGTCCTTTAGTCTATTTGACCTTTTGGATCTTTATAGTTCTATTTGTTTCCACTCTTAACCTACCTCTATTTCTATTCGTTTATCTATTTCTGCATCCTTTTCTTCTATGGTTCGCTACCTGCCACGTTGTCCATCCCCAAGCTCCTGAAGAGGTGGCAGATTATCGTGAATGTACCTGGCATAACGTCAGATAGTCGTCTATCTATACCTGTGTCTACCTTATCCGTACGTCTATCTCTGTAGCATTTTTATCCATAGCTTTCTTACATGCCAACGTTACTCATCACCAAGCTCCTGAAGAGGTGGGAGATTATCGTGAATGTATTTTTGCTTAATTTCGGATGACCATGTCTTTTAGCCTACCTTTACTTCTATCCGTCTATCTATCTCTATGTCTTTCTCTTCCATGGCTCCCTACCTCCCAGCGTTTCTATCACCAAGCTCTTGAAGAGGTGGGAGATTATCGTGAATGTATTTTTGCTTAATTTCGGATGACCATGTCTTTTAGCCTACCTTTACTTCTATCCGTCTATCTATCTCTGTGTCTTTCTCTTCCATGGCTCCCTACCTGCCAACGCTGCCCTTCACCAAGCTCTATCTATGTCTATGCCTACCTCTATCCGTCTGTCTATCTCAGTAACATTTTCATCCATATCTTGCTTACCTTCCAATATTGCTCATCACCAAGCTCTTGAAGAGGAAGCAGATTATTGTGTATATACCTGCGAATAACGTCAGATAGTCGCTTAACGATGTCTACCTATATCCGTCCATCTATCTTTGCAAAATTTCATCCAAAGCTTGCTTACCTGCCAACGTTACTGATCACCAATCTCCTAAAAATATGTGAGTTTATCGTGGATGTATCTTTGCTTAATATCGGATGTGTGTGGCCATATCTCTTATCCTACCTATACTTCTATCCGTCTATCTCTGGTTTTCTCTTTCATGGCTCCCTACCTTCCAACTTTGCCCCTTCACCAAGCTCCTGAAGCGGTGGGGGATAATCATGGATGTGCTTGACGTCAGATGGCCGTCGCTAGGGTCTTTAATAGCACGGTAACGATCCGTCGGACCCTGGGAAACCTCATCATTTGTATATAATTGTGTTCGCATAATTTATTTACAGTATTCTAAGTACTTTTATATACGATACTTGCAATAATTGTACTTAAAATAATGACCAAAACCGTTCGCAATATGTCTCTTTAATCATATCACAACGAGGGCTCGTTGAAGAATGAAAGCTCGATGGATACAAATAAAGACACTTTTACGAAAGGTTTTGAAATTTCTTTTAAATATTTTAGATGTAATTTTTTACCGGATTGATATCTATCATGAAAAGGTCAGTTCTCCTGTCAAAATAATCGGCATCTATTTAACATCTCCACAATCTAGCGAACTCGGATTGATGAAAAAGCCACAAAGCTAGCTGCCCTGGATTGACAAGGGGCCATTAGCCCGAAACCATGGTCTCCAGATCTGCGTTATAAATTTGGCAAAGCTGGTGTTGTGGCTTTGTCACCGACCCGAGTTTGCTAGGTTGCGAAGATGGTCAATAAATAACTCTTAGTTTTAGTATATTTTGACCAGAGAGGTCACTTTTTCTTTGATAGATTAAAAAAAGTATCTTCTCCCGGCAAATGCCCATTATATCTTGACCGTGGAATTTACTATCTTACCAGCTGAAAGTCTATTTGGCAAATTGTAAAGATTTTCTGAATCCCGTGCGGATCTCATGAAATCTATGCCCGTCCTGGACTGATGACGATCCTTATCCCGAAACAATGGTCTCCAGGTGGAAGATTTAAATTTGTCAAAGTTGGTGTCGTGACAATTTGACAATTAAAAAATATTTATTGTCATCTAGACAATATTACACATTTTCAAACAAAGAAGTAGAGAGAGAAATATATTACATGAAGAAAGAGAGAAATAAAATATATACATATATGAAACCTATATATTACAAGATGATGGAAGGAAACCTCGACGCTGGAGGGTCCTGGACCAGGCGATGAGCGGGTCCTCCACTGCTCCTCCGAGCCTAACCTGGACAAAGTAGCGATAAAAGTTGATGCCGTAGCTTTGTCATCGAATCTAGTCTGCTAATTTGCAGAGACGATCAATAGATGACGTTTAGTTTTAGTGTATTTTGATTGGAGAGAGGTGACCTTTCTTTTGATAAATATTTTAGTGAATTATTCATTCACTGGTCTTTTTATGGTATATTTAATCATTTTTATTACGATTTTTGTTCTAAAATTAAAATCCCAAACCTTATATGCCTCTTTTTATCCGCGTTCACCTTTTTATTAATTTAGGTATACCTTTCGTTTCTTTATCTCCCCATTGTTAACATTTTCTAATTATCAAAAATATATATATATATTAAGAGAGAGTTTGTAGAACGATATTTGACAATTATACCGCAAATTTTTCTTTTGAATTAAAATCGAAATTTATTTTAAGGAGAAATAACGATTATTTCTAACCTTAGGAATGAAGTATGATATGATGAATTGTGAAGAGTAATGATAAACGGAAAAATAAAGTGTCCGGGGATGGGAATTGTCTAAGGACCAGTGCGGACCAACAATGTCTTGCTGTGATCGAAGAACCAGTACGAATTAACATTTTCTTGCTGTGATCAAAGAACCAGTACATACCAACATTGTTTTGCTGTGATACACAGGCCAGTACGGACTAATGTTGTCTTCTAGCATTCTAATGTCCAAGTCCAAAAAAAGTCCGGCGTGTATGAGATTCCTAACTGGTGACGAATTCCCACCAGAACCAGTCAGGTCGTTGTTCTTTTACCTTTCTCCAATGTCTGATATGGCAGCTATCAGCGTCCTATCACGCCAGATAGGAGCAAGCCTTTGTCCTGCCAAGGTTACACACCTAACTCTCGGCGTAACCCTTCTCTCAAATCTTCTCTTGTGGAATTCGTTGAATATATCCGGGTCAATTTGATTGTTTGTGAAAGAACAATTTTAACTCTCTAAAAATATATAAATTTTGAACATAGGGTGTTTTTTAAATATTGTTTCTTTTTTCTTCTTCTTCTTTTCTAGAACATTTCTGTGAAGTCGACTGCCAGAGATATAGGTGGTACCGCTGAAGAAAACCAAAAATAATCAATTCCTCATTTCTTTATTATACTCAACTTTGGAAATATAATACGGACTAATATTGTGTCTTGCTGTGATCCAAAAACCATTACGAATCAACATTATCTTGCTGTGATCCAAGGACCAGGCCGCACCAACATTTTACTTCTGTGATTCACGGATAATTACGGACCAACATTATCTTGCAGTGATCCAAAGACCAGTACGGACCGAAATTATCTTGCTGTAATTCAAGAATCAGTACGGACGAATAATTGCCTTGCTGTGATCTAAAGACCAGTACGGGCCAACATTGCCTTGCTGTGATCTAAAGACCAGTACGGGCCAACATTGCCTTGCTGTGATCCAATGACCAGTACGGGCCAACAATATCTTGCTGTGATCCAATGACCAGTACGGGCCAACATTTTCTTGCTGTGATCCAATGACCAGTACGGGCCAACATTTCCTTGCTGTGATCCAAGGGATCCAAGGACGAGTACGGGTCAACATTGCCTTGCTGTGATTCAAGGACCAGTACGGGTCAACATTGCCTTGCTGTGATTCAAGAACCAGTACGGACCAACATTGCCATGCTGTGATCCAAGGACCAGTACGGGCCAGCATTGCCTTGCTGTGATCCAAAGACCAGTACGGACCGAAATTATCTTGCTGTAATTCAAGAATCAGTACGGACGAATAATTGCCTTGCTGTGATCTAAAGACCAGTACGGGCCAACATTGCCTTGCTGTGATCCAATGACCAGTACGGGCCAACAATATCTTGCTGTGATCCAATGACCAGTACGGGCCAACATTTCCTTGCTATGATCCAAGGACCAGTACGGGTCAACATTGCCTTGCTTTGATCCAAGGACCAGTACGGACCAACATTGCCTTGCTGTGATTCAAGGACCAGTACGGACAAACATTGCCTTGCTGCGATCCAAGGACCAGTACGGGCCAACATTTCCTTGCTATGATCCAAGGACCAGTACGGGTCAACATTGCCTTGCTGTGATCCAAGGACCAGTACGGACCAACATTGCCTTGCTGTGATTCAAGGACCAGTACGGACCAACATTGCCTTGCTGTGATCCAATGACAAGTACGGGCCAATATTATCTTGCTGTGATCCAAGGACCAGTACGGGCCAATATTATCTTGCTGTGATTCAAGGATCAGTACGGACCAACATTGCCTTGCAGTGATCCAAGGACCAGTACGGGCCAACATTGCCTTGCTGTGATCCAAGGACCAGTACGGACCAACATTGCTTTGCTGTGATCCAAGGACCAGTACGGACCAACATTGCCTTGCTGTGATTCAAGGACCAGTACGGACCAACATTGCCTTGCTGTGATCCAATGACAAGTACGGGCCAATATTATCTTGCTGTGATCCAAGGACCAGTACGGGCCAA